GGTGGTGGTGGTGGTGGTGGAGGTGGTGGAGGTGGTGGTGGTGGTGGAGGTGGTGGAGGTGGTGGTGGTGGTGGAGGTGGTGGTGGTGGTGGAGGTGGAGGTGGTGGTGGAGGTGGTGGTGGTGGAGGTGGTGGTGGTGGTGGTGGTGGTGGAGGTGGTGGTGGTGGTGGTGGTGGTGGAGGTGGAGGTGGAGGTTGTGATGAAGATGATGAAGGCAATAATAAGAGACCTGGGGAACCTTCTTGTCAATCTCTTGTACATTTTTTTATATAACTCTTTCCTCCAGGAATCCGAGCCATTTTCTTTCCTGTTTTCCTTCCCCTAATGTCCATTTTGAATTATTTTATCCCAATCTAGTGTTTTTCCCCCTATCTCTCACACTGTGTGATCTGTTACTTCCTGTGGTTATTAAGGAATTGAGTCGGATGGGATGAAATGGGGATGTGACCCCTATCTCAGTAATTGCCTATGAAGACAGCTCAGTACAGGCCCCCACTTTTAGTGATGATGAGGGTGTCACTGATACTGGATTCCAAGAGCTTATTTTTACCTATAGTCAATCTACAGTATTCGTTTTTGATACCTTTTTCACCTCAGGATTTTAAACTTCTAATGTTGGATGTAACCAAGTCTAGAGAGCAACCCACATGAGTGTGATGTTTCTGCATCTAAAGCTGTGTGTTAAAACATGAATTTTGATATCAGGCATGTATTGATATACACCTTTTTTTTTTATCCCTTGGAATAAAGAATGCTGTCTATGAATTAAAATATTAGTATTTAGGGGTGCCTGGGTGGCTCAGTCAGTTAAGAGCATGACTTCAGTGCAGGTCATAATCTCAGTGTCTCTTGAGCCCCACATCGTGCTCTGTCTCTCTCAAATAAATAAACAAAATCTTTAAAAGATATGTTAATATTTAGAAAATTACAAAGAGAACCTATGCAAAAATGAATCGGGCACGGTAAATAAAATAAGTGAATTAGCAAGTAAGCAATACAATTGTGTTGACCTAGAGGATATAGTGCATTATTAACTGTCTCCTGATATCAGCTCAGGTCAGGGTATTTCTCACCACGGTGTGTTGCATGTAATGCGTTAGGCCCAGGAAGGGTGATGCATCTCCTTCAGACAGATGGCTCTTCTTTGTTCTTACTCTCCGGAGGCTCTTCATAGCTCCTGGCATGTTGGCTTCCCACCCTGGAGTGGCTGGCAAAGGAGCTAATTGTTTCTCTCCATTCTCTCTGCTGAGGTTGGCTTTGGTTCTGTTCTTGGAGCGTTTTTTTATACGGGTCCATTACCTCCATGATGTCAGATGGGCTGACATTGGTGTCTTCTGCCTGGGATGCCATTCCCCAGCTCATCTATTTGGAAAATGCCTACTTATTCTTCAGAGGCTGCTTCAGCTTCATCTGTTCCTTGTGGCTTCCTTGCTTCTTTTCTTTTGCATTTTTCCCAGGTAGAATTGCTTTCTCATTTGTGTTGCCCTAACACTAAATGTATCACATTGCACTATAAATGCTTGTTTTGTCTTTCTCTGCTATGAGACTGTACTTAGGGGAGACTCTGGCTTATTCATTCCTTTTTTGTATCTGCAGCGCACAGCAGAATGTAAGGTACGTGTGAGGTTTAGGGTAAGTGTTTCTTGTCCTGCACTGAGGTTCTATGTCTCTGATTGTGCTCCTCCATCCAAAGTTATTAAATATTATAATATTTGTAATTTACATACAATGCAGTAGATAATGATCCGGGAGCCACAATGTTGCATTATCTGTCATTGTTTTTTAACTACTTGGTTATCAATTTTATTATCTGTAAACTCAGAGGAATTGATCAAATTCATTTGCTTTCCATTCATTCAGAAGTTTATTCATTAATTCATTCAAGATAAATTGATCAAGTATCTGTTTACCCTAGACATTGGACTAGGTAACTTCCTAAGCATAAAATGCCACTTTTTTTTTTAGTTTAAAATACTGCATATTGGGGCGCCTGGGTGGCTCAGTCGTTGAGCGTCTGCCTTCAGCTCGGGTCATGATCCCAGCATCCTGGGATCGAGCCCGACATCAGGCTCCCTCCTCCGCGGGAAGCCTGCTTCTCCCTCTCCCACTCCCGCTGCTTGTGTTCCCTCTCTCGCTGTGTCTCTGTCAAATAAATAAATAAAATCTTAAAAAAAAAATACTGCATATTTCAGTTAGAATACAAAAAAGTTTGGATCTGTGTAGACACTAGAGTTAAATTGACAACACTGCTTTTATAAGCTGTGCTACTAAGAATACAATTAGACACAGTTTTGAATATAATTCATACCAAGATAATCACATTTTCTTTCTGAATCTCATTAATGCTTCCAGCCATACTATTTGTATCAACTCATCTTAAAATATCAGTTCCCCCAGTGATCACAGAGTAGGGTTTCTGGGTTACATCATAGTGTTTGTTTTGCCTTCTTAACTCAGCCAGAATATCGACCTAATGTATATTTTATAAATTTAAGCAGGTGTGGAAAGTCTTTGGGCTGAAGAAAATCTATGCATTTATTCAACAGATATTTACTGAGTGCCTAATATGTGCATAGAGTTATTTACTGAGTGTCTAATATGTGCCTGGTGTTAAAATATATGCCCAGGATATGAAGGTCAAGAAAAGGGGCCTCTGTCTTTGAGAGGTTTATAGACCCGGGGGGAGAAGCATAGATGTAAACACATTATGATGGAAGAATATTCAGGTTTTAGCCGAGAGGAGGAAATGTGCTCAGGTTTGGCTGAGGGCAGGGTGGGGACAACAGACTTGCCAGAAAAAAGTCTTCATAGACTTTCTTGGGTTCTAGTCTTGGTTCTTCATATCAATAGATGGTACTTGAGGTGAGTGTCAAGACATATGTATGCCCCCAGGCTGACAGTGCTGGGAGGAGGGAGAAGATTCGAAGAACAGGAAGTAGGTAGGATGAGCAGTAGTAACAGATGAATGTGAAATAATGTATTATATTTAGGCAAGTAGGTAATATGTCATCATGATTAGAGAGAAAGAGACAAGCTGGATTGCAGGGATGCCTAAAGCTGTAGAGTAAACATGGGTAGGACTTTGTAGTCTCTTGGCTAAGATGGAAGAATACCAACTTTATCCTGTACGTAGAGGGAAATCCAAGAGGGACTTACGCAGTAGAGGAAGGGGGTCATTTTTTAAAAAACTACTAGAAGTGTAAATGTGATTAAAAAATTTGCTGAATTTTAAAACACGAATTTGGAAGCTTAGACATACTCGCTTTCTTCTATAAGCATTTTTGCTAAATTATTATTTTTTTTAATGAATGGGAATTATTTATAATGCTCAAATGAGGTCACACTATGGAGATGAAATTGGGAATGGGAACTTTCATTCTATCAAAGTCTCCTTTACATACCTAGGATTAGGCCTTTATTAAATTATTGAATTCTACTTTTTACCTCTGGAGAAATAGAGATCCAGTATTCAAAGGTCACCTTTTAATGGAGGTTAAAATAAAGGCTTGGATTTTGCTCCTCAGACTTCAGTTTATGGATCTGAGGAGGAAAAAGAAAACGGAGAAACAAACTGCGTAGATTTAGACATTTTTAGTGAGGAAAATAAATATTGTTAGCTATATTCGCTACAAGTGAAAATATATCAGTTGCTGATTTTTTAAATGCCAAAACCACGGCATTTGATCTAGTACAAATTAGTTTTTTTGCCTAGCAATTATTCAAGGGTTATTGATAAATCAGTAATAAATAGAAAACACCAAAACTAAGGCCTTCTGAACTAACAATGTCTACTCTGTTGGCCATTTATTGAGAGATTGTATATAAAAAAATACTTGGAAAAATTCTAATCTTTCTTC